AAAACATATTTTAGTCTTACTAACACCAAAATAAACATATTTTAGTCTTACTATCTCCAAAATAAAACAGATTTTAGTCTTACTATCTCCAAAAATAAAACAGATTTTAGTCTTACTATCTCCAAAAATAAAACAGATTTTAGTCTTACTATCTCCAAAAATAAAACAGATTTTAGTCTTACTATCTCCAAAATAAAACAGAATTTAGTCTCACTAACACCAAAAATAAAACAGATTTTAGCCTTACTAACACCAAAAATAAAACAGATTTTAGCCTTACTAACACCAAAAATAAAACAGATTTTAGCCTTACTATCTCCAAAATAAAACAGATTTTAGCCTTACTATCTCCAAAATAAAACAGATTTTAGTCTTACTGTCATATGAAGACATGCACAACACATAAACGGAAAACAGTAAACAGCTAGCAATATCATATTTAATACAAGTAATAAAACAACTTTAACTACATTCAAGCTTCACCGAAAGATGTTGCAAGATATATTTTAACTGTAAATTATATTTGATATTTTACTTATAAGACAACTATTGTGGGTTTCATTAGATTTTGTTTATAATACAGGTATTTTCAGACTAAATTTTGTTTCATTAAAAACTATTCTGAAAGTCAATAGTACTAAAAACAACAGTTTATAATTCTTAGATGCACATTTGTAAGTACATATAGATGTACATATTTAAATATAATTTTAAACAGTCTTTATTCTACAGTACTTCAGACATTATAAAAACCAAAATATGTGAGATAATAAAATGGGGGTGGGACGCTTCATTTCTTATACCCATTACTTTCAAATTACGAATATTAGTTAATAGTCATTCCCCCCATTTACATTAACAATATTTTTTTATTGACAATTAATTTTTTTTGTACACAAAAACTAAGAAATGTGTAAAAACTTTTCAAAAATATTCAATTATGAAGAAACAGTTCAATGATTATATTTTTGATCTAGAAATATTTGTGGTAACTAAATACTTTGAGATAATCCTGTAACTTCTAGAAATAACACACTATGACATAAAACCT